AAAAAAAAAAAAAAAAAAATGATTTGTCCAGGTAACTAATCTAATTCCCCTTCCCAGTAGGAACCCATACATTTTCTTCATCTGTGGGGAGCTGTGAAGTAAAGTACATACTAATATAATCTTTTTTTTATGTATTTCTTGTTGAAATGGCTTTAAAAGTGAGAATTTTGTTTATTAAAACCCATCCACACTGCCATTGCTGTGATACAGTGCAGAATAAATGTGTTCCAGCAGGACAGAGCACGAGGTAAAGTGGCCTCACTTAGCTATCCTCATGTGCACCGTGAAAGTGTGATAATAAAGTAATGGTAAGCCCCAAATGTAGTGAAAGTAGGGTCAGGGAAACTACAATTAAGATTAGAAATCAGAGCCGAGCATGGTGGCACCCACCTGCAGTCTCGGCACTTGGGAGGCTGAGGTAGGAGGATCGCTGTGAGCTCAAGGCCAGCCTCAACTACATAGCAAAACCCGTTTCAACAAGACAAAACAAAAGATTTGAATTCAGTACCAGAGAAACAAAAAGGATGTAGTTCTCACTCTTGGATTTCTGGCCCGTGTGGTTCTGATTTTCAAAGAAGCACTTAACCCTAAAAGAATCCCTCTCACAGGAGTGCTATAGGCAGAATGAAGGCTTCCCAGATAATAAAGTGTGTAGCTGCGGCAACCTGGGAAGCCTACCAGTAACCTGTAAACATAAAGCCCCGGAGAGATAAGTATCATGGATTAAGAGGTTATCCTGTCTCAGAAAGCTGATAAGTAGTGTGGTGCCTCTCGTGAATGAAAAGGTACAGTATCTTCTGTTTTGTCAACATATGTTCAGCATCACTACACTTGGGTTCTGATCAACTCTTGCCTTGTTCTGTGTTCTCTGTGGCACTAGCCAAAAAAGAAGAATATGTCGGCCTACCAGGTGTTCTGTAAGGAGTACCGCGTGAGCATTGTGGCTGAGCACCCAGGGATAGGTAAGAACGCACACCTCCAGCTCTCCTCCCTTGTGTCTGCAGTCGGTGTGGCTGCCTTCCGCGTTGGGACGCAGATCGTATCTCTGTCTTGCAAGCTGTCTTCACGCCCTCGCTTCATGATCCCATTCATACCTCTCAGCATGCTCCTGCCAGCAGTCCATGCATGGCGGTCCCATCAGTACATGCCACCCTAGCCACTCGTGGCACCAGCCCTCTTGTTAGTGTGTTAAACTGAAAAAAAAAGGAAGCTGTAAATTTTTTTTTTTTTTTTATCTTCGGGAAGGGTCTACAGGGTGTTCAGGGTCTCACTACTACATGGGACTCCTAGTGAGCCACCTGTTTACAGCTTCCCAAGAGCTGGGATTACAGGCACGCACCACCACGCCCAGCCTCAATTGCCATCTCAGAGCACCCCAGGGGCGGGGCCGGCATGGTGGGCCCTGGGATGGAACCTTGAGCCCCTGCACATGCTTGCAGGCGCTTTATTCCACTGAGCTATTTGGCTGGGCCTGGAAGCTATAAAAAATAAATATTATAAAGCATGCTGCACATATTGGTGTGTGTGTGTGTTTCCAGGGTTCTGACATGGACTTTGTCTCAGACTGCCCTTAGGTGTAGAGTTAGACACAGTAGCCTGCACAGCACTGTTCATGTTTGTCTCTGCAGCCTGGGGAGATGAGGAAACACTCCCCAGACCTGGGCTAGTCCCCTACCCTGCATGTGTCTCGCTTGCCTGCTCTGCCCCTCCACGGGCTGCTATGGTATATACCCAAAGACATCCTAAAGCACAAGACAGTCAGGTGTGGTGCCACACGCCTGCAGTCCTAGCACTCTGGCAGCCGAGGCAGGAGGATTACAGTGAGCTTGGAGCCAACTTGGCTACGTTGTGAGCTTAAGGCCAGCCTGAACTTTGTAATGAGTCCCTGTCTCAAAAGCCAAAGAGAAAAGAGGAAAAGAATTGGGGGTGGGGTTTGCTGTACAGATGGAAGGGTGGTATCACAACCTAGGGGTGCTTCTTGGCTGCTATAGGAAAGTTCTTTAGCTCTGACCATTCAGATATTTACTAGAAGCTTAATATTATTTAACAAACTCTATGTAGAGGGCCGGGAATATTGCTCAGCAGCATAAGTGCCTCCCTGGCAAGTACCAGGTCCCAAGTTTGATCCCCAGTACCAAAAAAAAAAAAATTCTAAGTAGAATATGACCCTTGACCTAGCTTGCAGGCCTTGTCTTACGAGGTTGCATTGAAAAACCATGGGGATGCCTGGCAAGCACAAGGGCCTGAGTTCAATCCCCGGTTCCGCCAGAAAAAAAAAACTATGGAGAGACGCCTCAGGAATAAGTCCCAAGAGTAGTGTGTGAAGGTTTGAGCCTTCTTACCACCACCAAAACATCCTTTTCTGGTATAAATATTAGACAAACAGTGATGGGGGTTTGGCTTGATTTTCTTAAAGAGTTTTCCAACTTTTTTTTTTTTCATTTATGCATTTGGTGCAGGGTCTCACTACACAGCTCAGACTCGTAACGATCCTGTCTTCAGCCTCCCCAGTGCTGGGATTACAGGTGTGTGCCACCACGCCTGGACTCATTCGCAGTCTCCGTGCGCCCCAGGGGCGGGGCAGCATGCCGCACCAGGGATCAAACCCTGGTCCCTGCGCTTACCAAAGCAGGCAGGCGCTCAGTCTGCTGAGCTCTCTGGCTAACCCTTTAACCTTTCAACCTGATCTTCAAAAGCCTTTTTTCACTGGGCTTGATGGTACATGCCTATCACCCCAGCACATGGGAGGCTGAGACAGGAGGATCACTATTTCAAGCTTAGCCTGGACTGTATGGTGAGACTGTCCAAAAAAAGTTGACCAGTTCTGCTCCTATCTGTCTTCTACTTTGTTACATAATGTGTGGTTTGATTTTTACTCTTTTATGCCAGATTTTGGGGAACTGAGTAAAAAGCTGGCTGAGGTGTGGAAACAGCTGCCAGAAAAGGACAAACTGGTGAGTGCCCTTGCAGCAAACATGCCTCCCACAGGTTGGCCTGTAAGTGCACGGTTCTCCTGCAGAGCACCCAGTTGCACCGCTGTGAGAGTAGCGCAGAAAGTGCTGGCAGCAGGCGTTGGTGTTGCCAGTGCTGGCTGCCGTGCTGAAGGGCCGGCTGGAGGGAGCCCGTCTTCTTTAGCTGGGGCTCATTTTTCCAATCACTTTATAATAGGCCAAAAGGAGAGCTAACCTGGGTAGTGAAAAAAGTGGTACAGGAGGGCAAGCGTCACAGTCTTTACTGCAGGGCCTGAGAGCCAGGAATGCTGAGGACACTGTCCTCCTGGCCCATGGCCACATAGTGGACCCTACGTCTAGGATCATGCCAGAGTCGTGCACGCTCTACCTGGACGATGGCCAGGCATTTACTGTGGCTCAGGTCTCATCCACCGTGTGTTCCCTTAGTGCTGAGGTCAGCCATTAGCAGGAGGAATGTTCGGTTTTCCAGGCTTAAATGTCAATGAACAGTAGGCCAAAGCCATCTCATCAGCCCCTGCCCACTCTGTTCTTCTCCTTGTTCTACCAGGACTGCTTTCCCTTCTGTGTTTTGTCTCTTAATTTGCACACTAATCTGATTGCAGATTTGGAAGCAGAAAGCTCAGTATCTGCAGCATAAACAGAACAAAGCGGAAGCTACAACTGTGAAAAGAAAAGCGTCTGTCTCAGAAGGCTCCACCAAAGTCAGAGGTAGCAAACAGCTCCTTTCTGGTGCTCACCGCCTTCCTCCAGAGCTCTGTGAAGTCTACTGCCTTGCTAGAAAATTGGGAGAATAGCTTGTCCTAAAAGTAGACATCAGACTCCACATGTTGTTGTTGGATGTTACAGGCAGCAAAAAAGGTGTTCAGATTTAGAAACTATAAATAAGTCAAGGGCCAGCCGACCTCCTGTAAAGACCCAGAAGGTGATGAGCCAGGCCTGCGTGCCATATGCATGCTCTGTCCCAGGTTCGTGTCTCCCCACAACCCTTTAACAGTGTAGAGCTGCCTGGCTCACAGGCCACACAGACAGCCATAGCCTTGCTGGTGCTCAGTAGACTTGGGAAGGAGGGAGGGTTGGGAGCAGTGTTTCTGCAGTACTGAGGACAGCGGGTGAGTTTCACCTCTCCTCTACCCCCGTTGTTCTCAGCTCCTTCTGCAGGAGTCCTGTCACCCCAAAAGAAGTCCCTGCCCACCACAGTGCTGTTCCCTGCGTCACCAGCCAGAGCTCCCGAGACAGAGCCCATTGACGTGGCTGCACACCTTCAGCTGCTGGGAGAGTCCCTCAGCCTCATCGGACACCGCCTGCAGGAGACAGAGGTGAGCGCCCTGCAGTGTGGCCCCAGGGCACACCCACTGCTTCCACTGGCAGCAGCTTTGTGCTGGTCCTGCCAGGCATGCAGGGGACAGTGAAGAAGACACCATGGCAATGGCAGTGTCTAGAAACTCGATCTGCCTTTGGCCCCTAAGTTTACAGTAGCACGTTCTGGTATAACAGTAGCGTGAAGAGAAGTTAAAATTCCCTATGATTGATTTTTATTCTTTAAAGACAGTGTAGCAGGGTGTGGTGGTGCACCCCATAATCTCAGCACTCGAGAGGCTGGGGCAAGAGGATCACAAGTGCAAGGCTCGGTCGGATCTCTGCCCTGCGAGCTGTGCTTTCAGAATCACTCAACCTGCAAAGCCACACACACTTGCCTTCCTGCACCCGGCTTCCAGCCACGCTGCCCTTCGCTAACACCACACTCACCTCTTAGTTCTGATAAGAGGTCAGCTCCTGAGCGGAGTTAGTCCCATGCTTTGGCAAATAAAACACCACCAGCCATATGAGGTGAAGCGGTACCTCAGTTCTCTAGCTAATTTCTGAAAATTCAGGTGGTGTGGAAACAACTGGCACATTCCTGTAGATTCATACTCAGATGATTCAGTTTTTCAGAATATAGCCTTGGGCTGGGGTAACAGCCCAGTGGCCTAAGCGCCTGCCTGGCAAGCAAAGGTCCTGAGTTTGGCCCCCCAGTACCACATGCCATGCTGGGTACACTGTGCCAGCCAGGAAATCAGACATGGTAGCATGTGCTGGCGAGGCTGAGACAGGAGGATCACTATGAGTTGGAATTGCATAATGAGACCTTGTATCAAAAAAAAAAAAAAAGCTTATGATCTTTTCATACTTAACCACTCTTATGTTTGCTAAAAACTGAGACGATATTTTGTTGTCAGTGCCTTCCACATTCAGATGTTTCCACGTAGGGTAACGAGTGTTTGGTGAATATTAAGGCATTATTCTAATAACTTGGGGAATAAAAATCTGCATATACAGTGTGCCTATCAGCAAGAAACTTAGCATCTAATTGGAAAAGCAGGAAGTTTATGCAATTATCGAGACAAGCTGGTTCTGGCGAAGAGTTCCCATGAGTGAGTTACACTGACAGAGGACAGTAGCCTCCTTTCGGGCATTTCCCTCAGACCCCTAGGAGCACCTCAGCCACCAGTAGTACATGACCCTGGTGTGAGCACAGCGCCACCATGACACGTAGTGGACTGAGTGTCTAACCCCACAGATGTGCTGAAGAGGGGGCCAGGGCCCCTGGCCAGGCAGAGTTGGACGGAGTGGCCTCCTACTGTTCAGAAGAGCGTGCAATTTAAACTTCAGGGCTGGGCTGGGGAGATAGCAGCGTCAGCCCCCGTCTGGCAAGTGCAGAGACCTGGCACGCAGTGCCGGCCACCAAAACCAGGCCTGTTGTCCCCGTGCTAGGGAGGCGAGGCGGGCATTGCTACAGGCTCGAGCTGCACAGTGAGACCCTGTACCAAATAAAGAAATTTTGAAAAGATTATAAAACTTAGGATTATTTATTTTGAGAATTTTCCATTTAATTATTTTTTTTACCAAGATGAACTTGGATAACTGAAACATAGAAAGAGAGACCATTGATAAGGAACAGCACCATAATCAGAAAAGGGAAAGGACTTTATAGATTCTCTAAAAAAAAAAAGCCTTATTCCATTTTGGGGGCCTGGCCCTAGCTCAGGTCTTTAAGTGGCTGCTTCCACAAAGCTGTCAGGCTCAGGTTGCTGGAGTTCGAACCTCACAAGTCTCCAGCTGGCCAAAAGTGCCTGAAGGCATTCGAGGAACCAAAAAAAAAGCCTTTATAGATTCTCTAATCTACATTTTAAGCCATGCTGAGATAGGATTCACATACAGAGAGCACACCCTTTTTAAGTGTGGAACTTAGTGGATGTTCATTTCTGTTTAGAACACTGAGCCTTCACTGCCAGCCCCTAAAGAAACCCCGGCTCATTCGCAGTCACAGCCCTCCCTCTCTGAGCCCACTCACTCCCGGAGTTTAGTTAGTCCTGGCATGCATCTTCACACTGCTCTTTACCTGCACGGCTTGGGCTGTCGCGTACCTCAGTAAGCCCATCTGGCCAGGTGTTGTGGCACACACCACTGTAATCCCACTGCTTTGGAGGCCGAGGCAGAAGGGTTGTAAATTCATGCTCAGCCTGACAGCTGAGCAGCTTAGCAAAACCCTGCCTCAGAAAAAAAATTTTTTTAGGAATTTGATATGGTTGTTATATCCCATATTGTTGTCTTCAAAGTAGTTCAGATTACCAGATAAAACCATGCAAAATTGGTCAAAAAAATTTTTTAAGCATTAACTACGCTTTCATAGACCAGTGGAAATCAGCAGTACAGTTATCCAAGCTGTCCTGGGTATATGCTGATATATGTATTTTTCCCTTCTTTCTTTTTCTCCTTCCCTCATCCCAGTTGTTCCTTCCCTTTGAGCAGTTTCTTTCCCTTTCACAATAGCTGCTGTTCTTTTTTCTGTATGTTAGGGAAGGGTCTCACTACTAGATTGGACTCGTAGTGATCCACCTGTTTACAGCCTCCCAGAATCAGGGAGTGTATGTGCACAACACCACGCCCAGCCTCGATGGCCTTCTCAGTGCAGCCCAGGCCCCTGCGCCCGCTTGCAGGTGCTTTAAGCCACTGAGCCATTTGGCCAGCCCTAGCTGTTGAACCTTTGGGATTTTATTGACTCTCTCAGGCCCGAATGCTTTGAGTCATTGGTAGGAAAATGGGTGCACTTTAAGACCATAGTGCTCAGTAAAACACCAGACATGGTTTAAATGTTGCATGGTTTCTCGTGTGAGAAAGCCACTGTTAAGTAGGTTAAGGAACAAAAGAGGACATAGATAAGAGGAAGCATGAGAGAGCTGCTGATGTGGAAGGGACCCGGGGGTGGAGGGGCCAAGGGACGGGGGCAGGGGGGTCCGCAGTAAGGGCCCCGGGGGTGGGGGAACGAGGGGCAGAGGCAGGGGAGTCCACAGTAAGGGACCCGGGGGTGGAGGGGATGAGGGGCAGAGGCAGGGGGGTCCGCAGTAAGGGACCCGGGGTGGAGGGGACGAGGGGCGGGGAGGCAGGGGGGTCCACAGTAAGGGACCCAGGGTGGAGGGGACAAGGGGCGGAGGCAGGGGGGTCCGCAGTAAGGGATCCGGGGGTGAGGGGGACCAGGGACGGCAGGGGTGTCCGCAGTAAGGGACCCAGGGTGGAGGGGACGAGGGACAGGGGCAGGGGGGTCCGCAGTAAGGGACCCAGGGTTGAGGGGACGAGGGACGGGGGCAGGGAGGGCTGCAGCAAGGCTTGGCGCACGCATATCCCTGCCCCACACCACAGCCCTGTGACTGCAGATGTGGACAGTGAGGACAAAGGCCAACTTTTTTTTTTTTTAAGGGGCTAGCGAGATAGCTCAGCAGTCTAAAGCGCCTGCTTAGGCAGGCATACAGGGACTGCAGTTCGATCCCCGGCACCTCATGCTGTGCCAGCCCTGGGACCCCTAGGGTGGGCTGAGCTGACTGCAAAAAAGTAAAAACTAATTTTTTTAAATCAGGAGACTGGGCGTGGTGTCACACACCTATAATCCCAGTACTTGGGAGGCTGAAAACAGGAGGATCACTGTGAGTCCAAGTTATGTAGTAAGACCCTGTAGACCCTGTCCTAAATACAGGAAGAAAAAAAGAAAAGATCAGAAGATATAGCTTAGTACAATAGTCCTGGGTTTAGTTCCCACGACTGCCAAATAAATCCTTTTGAGTAGGGAAGGTGTGAGCAGAACTACTGGCTTTCTCTGAGATGTGCTGCTTAGATTGCTGGTAAAAAGAGACCAGAGCTGGGACGCACTGGGGCCATGGTCTAGACAGAACAAAGGTGGGACCTTGGTGGGTGTTCGCTGAGTGTGGCCTGGAGCGCACGCATGAGCTCCAGTTGCTGTGGGAACGCCCTCCACAGAGCCTGTCAGGATCTTGAGCGGGACATCATTCCTAGTGAGACGGGAGAGGTGCACATAGCTCCTGTCCTTGAGGGACACAAGGTGTGTAACACATTAGGTGTGATGAGTGCTAGGGCAGAGGTGAGGAGTGATGCTGCTAACGGCTGACATTTGCTCGGTGCTCGCCCAGCCAGTGCTGGTTCAGCGCAGTTTACGTAGATTAATTAATGCAATTCACACTGCAGCTTTGGGACAGGCAGCATATTTGTTTCCAGATTTACAAAAGAAAAGACAGATTTTGATGGAGGCGCTTGCTCAGCTCAGCCTTAGTGTTGGCCAGAGTTGGATTAGGAATGCGGTTCAGGGGGCTGGAGAGATGGCTCAGTGGTCTAAAGCACCTACTTGAAACAAGCTTGGCAAAGCACAGGGACCGCGGTTCGATCCCCAGCACCAC